TTTTTATCAGAGATGTGCGGTAGAATGCTTGATTTGTGGTGAAAATTTCGAATACGTCGGTTAAGTAGAACGATTTTTATGAGCAAAATAGGTGTCGTGACGGAATTACATTTTTTAGCCTTTTTTTCTAGTGCTCTACAAACTTTGAAAACTGCTTTAAAACGAAACATATTCAAAAAAAAAGTTTAATATAAAAGTTGTAGAGCATGAAACGAGCTTTCGAATCATCTCTTTACTTTCACTCAAAAATGCTTAAATGAAAAGAAACGGGCGAAATGGCTCCGTGACGGAATTACATCATTTTTTTGCTTTCTTTTGCGGTGGGTTTTATCGTTAGATTTCTACCGGTAAAAAAGACTTCTATAAACTTGATCTGCACGTAGCCTTATGCAATCGAGTGCTCTCTATCAAACTAGCAAAAAAGAACGGTGGGAGAAATGTTTTTGATTTTCGTATAGTTGCTCCAAAAAAAGTATCATTTCGAATTCGACAAAAACCAGCAAAAACTTGTTTAGTGTGCAAAATGCGTTTTTTAACATTTTTCGACAAAGTCAGTAGTGTATTTTGTAGAGAACTGAATTCTTTATCCACTGATATACTTTCTGAAACTATTTAAAAAACTAAATTAGTCAGAAAATTGAAATTAAAAAACTTCTAAATTTTAAATTTGAATTTTAGATTTAAAAATTTCGAGTTTCGTTTATTTTAAAGTTGATATTCGTAATCAGCGCAAAAAACTGCGTCTAATGATGTGCTTTTAAGGCTGATTTGAGAGAAAAAATATCGCTCAACCCATCGTAGCTGAGGGTGACAGTTACGCGTTTTAGCCGACTGTGTGTCCAGCTATATTTTCGAATAAGATACATTTTACGTCTTGAGATAAATGTTATGTTTTAAAATAAGAAAATAGAAGTAAATCAAGGAACAAATGGACGCTGCAACATGCATACAGAACGAAACAGGACAAAAATGAGTCATACACCGGGCTGACTCATGATTTTTTTGTTCGTAGAAAAAAGAACAGAAAATGCAGGAATCAGTTGACTTTACAAACTTGCGACATAATTATGCAACTTCTCTTACCAGATTCTCACTAAAATTAATGGGGGTTTGTACATGTTTTCATATAAATACATTTGCGACCAGTATGTTATATGAGTATTCTCACAAAATTTCTATAAGATTACTTTGATTTCTCTGACCAGGGTTTCTACAACCACTTTTCGATTGATTCGTGTAAATAAAAATGTTTGAACAACGTCTAAACCTATTTCAGATTTTTATCGAAACAATTTGAAATTAAAAATGGAGGATGATGATTATGAAAGAGCAGTACGTAACGCAGTGCCTATTACTAGCTGGTTGAAAAGATTGCTTCCGTATGAAAAGGATCTTTTTGATCATGGCGAACTGAAGAATATTACACATGATGGAGCAAGTGCAGTATGGTTGGAGTCGCCGTCTACCATTCCAAAACCAGGACAGACAAATGTCTACAGACCGATGGGTGATATTGAAGCAAAATATTTAGTAGCTAATGGTCAACTTCCGAACACTCAACCGTATCAAGCAATCATTGAAGGACAAGAGGGAAGAGAATATGCAAATAAATACTTGACAGGAAAAAAATGGACAAAAACTCATCCAACAACAATTGTTGAATTTACTTCACCAATCGAATTAATAGAAACTTTAAAAAAGAGACAAATCAAAGTGGAAGATGGAGCGATGTCTATGGGATTGGGAAACAAAGCAGGAAAAGGTTTGGACATTTTTAATGAAAGTATAAGGAATGGTGAAACAACTTTTAAAATTGTGAAAGTGAAAAGAAGCAAAGACAAAAGTAGCTAAATATAAATGTTCTGAAGTGAGGTTGAGAAAACTCAATTACTCGTTCTATTTAAAAACGCATAGTTTTATTTATAAAATTTATCTTCCCATTACTAACAATGTTATGGCAGGTATCTACCAGAGATGGATGATCCACCCGTCCTGCTTGGATCGTATGGTTTGGAGAAAGTTTGGGACGGACGCGACAAGCCGTTTTAACTGTTGGCCGGGCATGAGGACATTCTGTTTGTTCGTTCAACAAAGAATTCTTGTACCTAAACGAAAGTTTTTTCCTGGCAGTTTGTGAATTACTTGTATATTAACAATTACTAGTCGGCGATAATCAATAGATAAGCTATGAAAATTTACTATGCGTGTCGTGTCAACATACATTCCTTCTTATATTTTGTTTGATCAGCCAAGACGGGCCGACTCGGGCTGGTAGTGGATTTGGTTTTGCAGTTTACTTTTTCTGTAGTTTTAGTTTAGAACACTACAATGGAATAAAGAATAAAGCTTATATCAATACAGCGAGCTCCAATGGGTAAAATTTAGTTAGGATTGTTCAAGAAGGGCTGGACCAACAGGGATGGGAGCCGTGCGGAGCTTCGATTCCTGTATGGATTTTCCACAATACTTTTCAGTTTGAGCTCGGCATATAGTCTTATGCAATGAAGTGTTATCTATAATCTGAGACAAGATTTTTGTTATGGATCTGGTAATACGAGTTAGTACGATCTTACGAACTTTATACCGACGGGGATATAGTAAAAATTATTTAATATTCTGGTTATTTAATTTTCGGGGAAGAGAAAGAGAAGATTTTAATTAATTTTTCTTTTATTTCTATTAATAATTAAAAGACGAATCTCATTAAGCTTAAATCGGAACATACACATATATCGAGATACATTCAATTACAATATCTCCCATGTATGTGTATAGATTGAGCTTAATGAATTTACATATTGATTAAAATAAAATTATCATTGATCATCAATGATATACTTGGGCGACCAATATGAGCAAGAGAAAAATAGAAAATTTCTGTCGCCGTCTTTTCTTTTCTTTTCTTTTTCTCGTTCTCTCTCACACACACATGGTCAGTTACGTGAGCACACGTCCAGACCAACACACACGCTTCAAGAACAATTTTGTTTTCATCGTTCGACATACGGTATGAGTTGTTTCATTGACAAGTTTATTTTATAAATAATAATATCACCTTTGGCTTAATAATATCACCTTGCATTTCAATATTTTGATTCAAGTATTTCAGTAAATCCTTGACGTCTTGTAATTGCATAGTCTTGGTCGTATTCATGACACGATCATTATTTCTAATGTTTTCGCTTAGTTTATCGTCATTCAGCTTTACAGTGATGTCGAAGAAGTTATCGCTGCTTGTCTGAGTGTCAGTTCGTCTATCACTGCCACCTCTGCCTCCAAGATTGAGTCCTAACACACCGAAAATGTTGAGACCTAATTGCCCTTTACCCTGTGAGTTACTCTTTTGATCACTTTAATGTTTAGTTTGAGCATGTTCGACCTTATCGATAAATCTTTCTAACAGATGCTTTTCAAGCGATTGCAAATGTTCTTCAACAGCTTCCTTTGCCTTATTCTGATCATATATGTAACTGTCCGAGTCACTTACATCTTTCGTTATGATTTTATTCAGTACTTTTGACAGACGATCAGGACGTGTCATATCCAGATTCCAGTAAAGCGAGTCCCAATATTGATCTGCTACTTGCTGAATTTGAATCTGTTTAAAACGAAGTTGATTCTGAAGTATTTGATCAATCGGCAATGGATCTTTCAAGCTTTCGTGTGTTCTTCATCTACACGCAAAGACATCATTACATTCTCTGATGTTTCGGACAGCAAACGCTTGAAATTATCACCAGTTAAAGCAACATATTCTTGTGTGTCCGAAGGAAATTGTGAACGAATTTCGTTATACATTGATGTTGTGCTTACGTGTTCCGTTGTAATTTCAAGTTTCCGTTCAGCATTGCTTTGGCCGTGTAGAGAGTATATTGAATATTGTACCCGTCCATGTCACAGTAGGGTGTAACAGTGGACTTCAGTTGATCACAAATACTTAAGTTTTTCGTGTAAAATTGAAATTCATAATTTTTCAATAACATAAGTGTTTGATTTCCAACGTTCATTAGCTTGAATTAGATTTTTCGATTCTTCTGTGCGACTGGAAGCGTGAACGAGTCGTATTGAGTTCATCGGTACCAACGAAACACGGCAGACTTGAGTAAAACAGATATTGTAGTGTCGTTGGACGTGCTGTAGAATTAAATTTTGAAGAGAAGTTTAGTAGAGGTGAACCGAAATGCGGAGTTCATTTTTTCCCGCATGAATATTATGAACACATTTCGTTTTATTCGGTAGTATGTACCAGAGCTGATCACCTGCATGGTAAACTGCCTGCAAACTGCAGGCAGTGCAGGCAGGTTGCAGTTTGCAGGTGAATAAAAAAAATTTCCACTAACGGCCGGCAGATAAAGACGAATGTTTTC